TGGGGGGGGGGGGGGCGCCCGCATACTTATCCAAGACTAAGTGGATAATAAACAAATGGAATTATATTAAAGTTGCCTTGCATTATTGTATAAATCGCCTCCTGAATTGTAGATTTTTCATAGACGTGTTTTCCACTTAGAGGAGTTATCGCTTCATTTCCTGTGTCACAGACTACTACACGTAGAACGATGTGAGTAGCAATGACAAACTTCTCGACGGTTTACATGGTACAAATGAACCAGTTCCGATAAAATATTATATTCACATTTATTCCAGGTACAATTTTGCTATTGATACTTTAATATGTAACTGAACCGTGTATTGATATTATAACAAAACAAATGAAACATTATTTACAGATTGCCTCTTACAGTGTATGACTAAACGGTTTTTTTTTTGTCTTCCAGGTGCTCAAGACGTCACGATGTTCACCTGTGGCAAAGTGACCAGTTTTAACGACCCCACCCTAGTCATAAACTGGTGGTGTCCTGGTAAGATGAAAAAGAACCGTTTTTTAACGATTTGGCTGTGTTTTACAAAGAACTTTATTCTAAAACTGGTGTTGGCTTTTAGAACAAATTTTAGTCTACTTTCATCCACAATAAATTGGTTATAGATGTCCAATTAAATAAATGATTCTGTTGCACCTGTTTTTATACAAAAACATCGCTATTAATGATACGATTAAGATGAAGTTATGGTACATAAGTTACCACGTATTTATCCCATTCTCTGTCTATTAGGTGTTTGTGGCGGCACCGCGTCCACCGTGAGTATCGACGACTTTGCACGAGCCACGCCCTTCGTACCGCCGACAGCTGGAGACTGCATCGCCATCCGTTATACCCAGAACAACATCCATCTGCAGTTTGTCGACTGTGCCTCCAACCACCACTTTATCTGTCAAGACACTTGTCCTTGAGGATCGCCATAGAGGATCGCTTTAGTCTAACCTGTCCATGTTATAAAAGCCAAATAATAAGCTTTTGTCTGTTATATAGATAATTCCATGAAATCTTAACGATTTTCAAACAGTATATTTAATCTTGTGATAATTTGTGTTCATCAGAATAGCTTGTGCACAAGACATTCCAAAAAATAAAAAAAAATCGTTTCTCTTTCCATTTCGTTTCTATATGTTTATTTATTTGCTTTTACGATACAAGAATGACATATATATAACTTAATAGTCGGACATTTATTCCTTGAAACGCACGGTAGATCATTTGCAAGGAAGGTGCGGTTTTATAATAATAATAGTAAATGATAATAATAATAATAATCTGTGGAGCGGAAAATGTATGTACAGATATGTATAGGGCTACATAAGACCAAGAGATGTTGAGAAGATTGCTCACCAATGCTTTATGAAGCAGGTACTTGATGATGCCGGATGTACCTACTGATATATATATGTCTATTTAGTATCGTGAAAGAAAAGCTTGCATGTCTGATGGCCGCGAAGTTTCTCTCAGCGCTAGTCACTTGTGTTGTGATCTGCATTTGTGCGTGACATCATTCACAAATGTAACTATGGCAGTCACACTGCTCAGTGTTAGAAGAAAAGAAAGCTGCATAGAGTCTAAAAGTGTAAAATCAATAAACAATCCGAGAATAAATTGATCTTTCCGATGCCTCTTATATAATATGTTTTATTTCCTCTTAACAATTTTAAATAACTATCTTATAAAGTTTATTCTCCATAAACGTTTTAGCTTTGTATGTTATTGTAAAATCCAAGTATTTTAACAACAATAAATATTATATTTAATTTGAATAAATAAGGAATATGTAACAGATTTGGTGGTATCAGTAATCTTTCTACAGATGTTTTATTGTGCGTTTGTATAAAATCTACTAAATAACGTAAATCAGTCGTCATTGCTGTAATAAACGAAGGGCCATCAAGGGGCTTACCTGTTCGTACTTCTATGGAGAGGAGGAGTTAACAGCCACCCTTTTCCAAACTAATCTGTAGCCTGAACTTATTTTCAGGAGATCACCCCTATCGTATTTGAATCCATGATATTAATTCCATAGTATGATAAACGAATATAAGAGTATATAGTGACTTTTTGTGCCATTCAACTAAATCTTCCCCAGATTAAAATGATCAGTTGAACGTAGGCTCCTATTTTGAGGAAATCTTAATTTTTGGAACCTATTTTTGCCAAACATTAGGCCTATGGTAATTATTTGGCACAAACTTAACGATTTTGCTCAGAAAAAAAGCAGTGACATTTCCTTGTGAGGTTAAAAAATATACCCACACGTTTAATGGGGAATGCAACATTTCATAAAGTGTAACAGTTGCCGGTAGAAGGGATGAGCAATCGAAAGCATTACTCCACAATATGTCCATAGATCACAAAATACACCGACTTTTATCCAGATCTGAGACAAATAAAATCATGCCATATAGTCACCGTCGAACTCAAAAATATACAGTTGCAAAACCAAGAACTGTCAAATCTTCAAAGAAATTCCTATCTTGGACATTGAATACTTACAAATATTGACCTGACTTCTAGGCCCGTATTCCAGAATCTCCCTTTAGCGTTAAGGCAGACTTAAAGTCGACCTTATGCGAAATTTGTATTCCAAGACCTTTCTTTATCTCACTTGAAAGGAATCACTTAACAATCATCCTTAGCAAAGGAATCGGTCATTTCTAGAATCTGCCTTTGCTTAAAGATTTCCTTTATTTTCGGCTGAGGATTCCTTAAAATGTAAGGTTGGTCTGGAGTAACTTTTAGTCTTCCTTAAGCAGCCATCGTGTACATGTACATTTCTCTTGTGAAAATCAGCTCCATGGAGGACTATGTAAACCAACATGCCTACCTAAATTCAAAAACATTAAATTCAACTAGAAAAAGCACTCCGAGAGCGGAGACCTCCGCCAAGGCAGCAAAGTCTCCACCCAATTTTCATTCTATAATGATTTAGTTTTTTTATTTTTGATTATCGATAGATTATTTATCCGGATCACCACCAAAAACTAATCATCTGTTCCTTGGCCCACTTGTGACAGTTCCTGAAAATTCCATCACAATCGGCCGATAACTTTTTGAGTTCTTTTTGATTATTGATTATTGATTGATTATTGATCTTGATCACCACCAAAAACTAACCACTTCTAATATAATCCATTTCTGACCTACCCTGAAAATTTCATCAAAATCGGCCTGTAACTTTTTGATTTTATGTTGATGACAAACAGACAGACAGACAGACAGACAAACAGGGATGAAAACATAACCTCCTTGGTGGAGGTAACAAAAAGACAGACAAACAAACAGGGGTGAAAACAGCCTCCTTGGCGGAAGTAATACATTTGCTCGAGGATAGGCTTTTCTCTGTTGACTAGTTGCATCAGTAGCTGCTTTTCGATATCAGAAAAGGGATAATGTCCATATGCACTGTTGCATGACTGAAGTTGATCAGTTGACCCCAATTATACAACATTACTGAGGCGTTTTTACCAAGGAGGGTGTCACAAAGGCCTACTCTAACCAATGAGGAGCTCCTTTATGTCAGTGCCCCTTACCTAAAGACTGACTTTTGTCAAAGTAATTCCTTATCAAAGGAGAGGCTAAAGTGTGGTCTTAGCATACCATTTCGTTAGGCCTTCCTTTACCAAGGACCACCTCATCAAAGGAAGCCTTTATAAAAGTTGACCTTAGGCCTATTTTAAGGAACATCTTGGAATACGGGCCCTAGTGAGCACAGGCTTCAAACAACTGCGCATGTGCGAAAAGTGCGCTGTTTGAAATAAACAAGTTGGTGAAATTGACAAAGACCGTCTGGTTGATTTTATTTCATTAGATCTCTGGTGTCTTTTTGAAAATTTATATTAGAAATGTTCTATTGATTTTATGTTGTAAAAAGTAAATCCGTCGGAATTCCTTAGAAAAACATTTATTTTACCTTCATTTTAAGGGGATTCCCATTGTATTTATAGTGTTATATGTGGCCCCAATGGGGATTTTCACACCTCCCCTACTCTTGATTAATAAAATTCTTCACCTGGAGGATTGTAAATTACATTGCAAAATACATTGAAAATCGTAGGAAGGTTAACTGCAGATAATGCTGCGAGGATATTCTTAACAGTGGGGGAACTCGGCCAATATAAAATTTTTAACTTCGTTTTACGATTTTGGAGCGCCTGTTCTAATTTTTGAAAGCGAGGCAATGGAACCAAACAATGCGATACAATTTGTAATCTCGTAAAAATTGCTATTTTTATATAAAGGTTATAGCATGGAGTACATCGAAATGCGACTTGTTTATTATTATGATCTTAAATAATAATTAATATAAAACAAACGATATAATACGTTCTTAACGTTAGCCTATTTATTAGCTTAATTGATTTTTTTTCGTATTTGGAGATTAAAAACACAAAAGTTGTCTGGTTTCATATCGAGGCACTGCGTTTCGTTCGTGTGCTGCCCTAGTGTGTTTTCCTCAGAGGATCAAATGTTTTATTTCCTCTTAACATTTTGTAATAACTATTTTAATAACTATCTCATTAAACGTTTTAGCTATGTATGTTATTGTAAAATCCAAGTATTTTAATAGCAAAAAAAATAACAATAATAATATATAACTTATATTATTATTATAATATTGACAAACTCTCTGGACTAATATGACACCTAGTTCCTGGTCCTAAGTGCCATATAGCCGCCATATTTAGGCCTCACACGACACGTCTTCGTGCGTTAACCAGTGGTATATGGCGCGGATGGCGGGAGAGTGAAGAAAGAAAACACGACAATTAAACATGGGAAAACGTTGTCAATCCACATGTTAGAACAGTAAGTAATATTAGACTACCTTTGAAATTGCCATATAAACACACAGTTCACAAATGTAGTCCATGCAGCAAGATGGAAGGTATAAATCCACCTCATATTGTGTGGTGTAATTTTGTCGGTCAGCTTCATTCGATATTCATACAAAGAAATTAAGAAGTGAGAGCTCAAAGCCAGCTAGGGCGCTACAGCAGATCTTATATAGTTGCGTTTAAACTAAACTTTCATATACATTGAAATAATACAAGACAGTGGTACAATCTGTTATATGAAAGGAATTATATCTTTAATGAAGATGGATGTTTGAATTTGCAGTGAAGTAATTTCAGTTAAACAGTAAGTATAACTATGCCAAAGGAACTGGTGAAAGATATTTGAATTGTTTGATTTACAATAGTGATTAATCCTAAAAGAGTAAAAGCTTAAATATATGAATAAAGAATCCTAATTTTTCTGTATATTTTCATGCAGATGTACAGAGGTCACTACATATGACAAGAAGATGGATCCTCGACTAACATCTCTGATGGCACAGTACAATGGCCTGCAGGCTCCTATCCCTTATGTGCAGCCAAACCCTACTGCTATGACACCTGGTGCATACAGTGGTATGGGCTTGTCTCCTGGCCTTGCTACGACAGGCCCCTATAGTGTCAGCCAGGACCTCCAGCTACTGAGAGCTATGGGACAGGAGAATGTGATCTTCAACAGGACAGAGGGGCCTGATGAAATGACTGCAGAGATTGGAAAGATGGCACAGGAAGGGGTGGAAGAAATGAAAAGGTTATAGTCAACATTTCATAGAATAGATGATATAAAGAATGTGAATATATGACCAACTTGATGTATCTTTTGAAAATTATTTTATTGAATTTAATAATATTTCTTAAGGAAAAAAATTATAAATAATGTAGAAAAAAGAAAATACAATTTCCAATTTTATGTGGATAGTTTCACCATTAGCAGTGAGTGTTAAGATCATTTATACAGTGACATGTTTCAAAATATATGTCTTGAAACCGTGTTCTAGTTATAAGCTGTTTCACCAGATACTCGTAGGTATTCTGTCAACTAATTTTTTACTGGTGATGTTGAATGATTGATGTTTTGCTGATCGTTTATATTTTACAGTGATGAGGTGTTCTCTACTTACAAACACAACCCAATACTCCCGGACAGTCAGGAACACCCAGGAGATATAGTAGAGGCTGGCTCTCTGGCTGTAAGTATATAAATACAACCTAATACTTCCAGACAGTCAGGAACAGGCTGGCTCTCTGGCTGTTAGTATATAAATACAACCCAATACTTCCAGACAGTCAGGAACAGGCTGGCTCTCTGGCTGTAAGTACAAAATTAATATGCACAATATTGTGTAGTCATTGTTTTTCATTGGCTTGTTTTATTAGACCAAAAAATGGACTAGTCTTTTTTTGGCCATGATAGTAAAATCTGCCACATAAGGTAGTAGTTCAACCAAATGACAAAGTTTGGCTGTTTTAAGATGGGAAGGAAGTGGCTAATGTTTCAGACCTGTACTTTCTCTAAGAGTTCTACTATTTACATTTACCTTGACTTGAAGTAGACCAACTTTTTAGCTGACAAGTTTGTTAAACCATCCTGAGATTTCCCCAGGGTTATGTCATTGTCAAGGTGTTGATATAACCACCAGTGACTAGCCTAACACCACATTAGGAGGACATGGTACTGCAATGGCCATAACATTGTCAAGGTGTTGATATAACCACCAGTGACCAGCCTAACACCACATTAGGAGGACATGGTACTGCAATGGCCATAACATTGTCAAGATGTTGATATAACCACCAGTGACCAGCCTAACACCACATTAGGAGGACATGGTACTGCAATGGCCATAACATTGTCAAGGTGTTGATATAACCACCAGTGACCAGCCTAACACCACATTAGGAGGACATGGTACTGCAATGGCCATAACATTGTCAAGGTGTTGATATAACCACCAGTGACCAGCCTAACACCACATTAGGAGGACATGGTACTGCAATGG